TTAAGCAAAGTTCTAAGAACATTTCCTGTTAGCTGGGTTTATTGCCTGTCTAGTTGGTGAAAGAATAGAAAAGCCGTTCAGTAAAACTTAAAGGGATAGTTCAATCAAAAATGAAACATCTGTCATCATTACTCACCCTCATGTTGTTTCAAATCTGTATGACTTTCTTTCTTTTAGAAATGTCTCAGTATTTTTTTTTTTCATACAATAGAAGCCAATGGTAACCAAAACAGTTTGGTTACCAACATTCTTCAAAATACCTTCTTTTTTAGTTCCACAAAAGAAAGTTATACAGGTTATAAACAACATGAGGGTGAGTAAATGATGACAGAATTTTCATCTTTGGGTGAACTATCCCTTTAAATAACAACCAACAAAGTGTTTCTGGTGAAGTTGGTTCACCAAGGTGGTCTTCCTGACTTAGCTGTCTAGTGGGTGCAAACCAACCAACCATGGTAGAATACAAGCATCCAAAGTGTAATATATACTGTCTTTTGTGTAATATATATAGTCTTTTGTGCTTTGTCAATAAGTTAGAAAGCAGGAACTGCATGTTCATTTTTAATAGGAAAATATATACATTTATTTGGCACATTAGGATGACTGTAGCCTTCATCTTTTTTAGTTCCACAAAAGAAAGTTATACAGGTTATAAACAACATGAGGGTGAGTAAATGATGACAGAATTTTCATCTTTGGGTGAACTATCCCTTTAAATAACAACCAACAAAGTGTTTCTGGTGAAGTTGGTTCACCAAGGTGGTCTTCCTGACTTAGCTGTCTAGTGGGCGCAAACCAACCAACCATGGTAGAATACAAGCATCCAAAGTGTAATATATACTGTCTTTTGTGTAATATATATAGTCTTTTTTGCTTTGTCAATAAGTTAGAAAGCAGGAAATGCATGTTCATTTTTAATAGGGAAATATATACATTTATTTGGCACATTAGGATGACTGTAGCCTTCATCAACACAACGAAGACCAGTTGCTATTCATTAAATTATACCACACATTATACCATGACCATGATGAATGAAAATTCTCACAAATAAAAACATTAATTCTTCATTTAAGATTATCTTGCAAGAGTGTCACTGTTAAATTTTTTTTTTTTTAATTCAAACTATTGTACTTTTTACAAGAAAATACTATTTCAGTCTTTCTACTTCATGCTCAATTTCCCGCTATATATAGTGTGTTGTGTTACTGTATTCAACGTATTAATTTCTTAGTATTTAGTTGTGACATCTACTAGCAGTTTCTTTTTTTTTCAACATATTAAACTGGCATGAAATTAATGCAAGGTGTGTTTAATAAAAGTTTCTAAATGATTCTCCAGGCGTAAAACCTAATCAGACAAGACACGACCAAACAGAGTTTTCGAAATGTGACTAAAAGATTGAATAGGATCCAAAATCTTGATAACTCACCCAAAGAGCCTGATTATTATGATTCATCTTTTTTTTTCCAACCAAAATTCGGTCAAATGGATCTGCAACAATGCCACATAGCCTGATCTTTAATCCGTAGGTCAGATTACTGGCAATGAGAGGAAAAATGTAGATCTAAACATAGCGCCAATCACCTATCAATTGATCTGATGAGGGAATCCAGGTCAGAGGTAGGTCATATTATCTATGCAATCACGATAAAGCATTGCATAAATAGATGAGGTGAACGAGAAACATTTTCACACTGCAAGAGAATAAGCAGAGGGCATTAAAGATGTTTCTGAGCTTCTTTGACGCTAAATACATGGTGAGATGACCGAAACGTTCAAAGATAGTTTGCAGTAGTTTAACTCTGTTAGCGATGCTAATAGGTATGCTAACACGATTTGCTTGCTTTCCTAAAGAGTAAACTTTTTAGATTAAGTTTAAATGTACTATGTTGTGACGAAAAGACGCCTCCGCTCAGAAATGGTTTGATTTTAGTGAAATATAATAACAGATTATGATCTTTCTTTCAGGTTTTGCTAGGCTGTGCACTGGCGAACCTCACATTTGCAAAACAAGGGCAGAAAAGACTATGTGACACTAGTTTGATGATTTCCAGTGACTTTTCTGCCTCTCCGGATACAGATGCGGAGGGAAATGGCAACATCCACAACCGCTCACTATCTGCATGGACCTGGATGTGAGTTGCAAAGACACAGAAACAAATGATACATTCACCAATCTCTGAAGTGAATCAAAAAGTGAATCAAAAAGTACAAAGATTTGGAGTTACAGAGGTAGAATGATGTTGATTTCTGCTTAGTGCTTAATGTCAATGAAAATAATCTACAATTCATGACTAACGCAAAGTTTGATGATGTATCAGGAATCAGATTTATTGCTATGTTTGGGAGGTTAACATTAAGCTAGCTGTCATGGCTACTATGTAAGCATTTTTAAGATACAGCAGGCCATGTGACGTCAGTGTGAAACATCAAGTAAAGCAGGTATTGGTTAGTTCTGTGGGTTTTGTCTCAGAGAAATAAGCTTCTTGTTTTCTTTACTTTCAGACCAAAGATTTCACCACACAGAATACCACAGGTCAACTTTGAAGCCCAGTGCAATTCAGAATATTGCACCTTTCCCAGTGGCATGGATACGAGACTGAACTCTTTGCCTATTTATCAGGACATCCTGGTGCTGAAACAGGATAAGGAGGACAGGAAGTGTTTCAGGGCGACTTTTGAGAGAGTCATAGTGGGCTGTACATGTGTGTGGGCCAAAACCTCCTAAAATTACTTATATGTTTCCATGTTAGAATGAACTTATTTATTTGTTCCAATGAAGCTGAGACCTTTAACTGATTTTAAGTTATTTTGCAAACAAAATAGTTCCAGAATTAAATTTTTATTAAATATTTGCATTTATTTAGTTAGTAGACAGTTATTATACTTATGTATTGAGTATTAATAAAATATTTAAACATGTTTTGATTTTTTGAGTTTTATTTGTCCAGTTAACAATACATTTTATGAAGCATAACACTTATCGATCACTAATCTTTATTGTGCACTCTCCATAACCAAACCGATGTCTTGATGTAGTTATCTTAACTTTTGATTTATAGTTATCTCAAACTTTTGTCCTAAAATGTTTAAATAGTAATTGGTTTTGGTGAAAAAACACAAAATAAAGACGTCAATAAAAAAACATTGCCCAATAAAATATGTTCTAAGAATATTCTGCTAATGTTTCCTTTAAGTTATAAATATGCTTCTGAACATTCTCTAAATGTGTAAAAGGTTTTTTTTTTTTGGTTATGCGGACATTAAGGGAACATTTCATTTTATAGTTTTGTTAACATTATGGGAATGCTATTTTTGAATTTTCTCTCAACGTTCTGAAACAAGTTTAAAAAAATGTTTACATTTTTTTTTAAAACATTAGACGAGCATCCAACTAAAACATTTCAGGAAAATGAATGTTCCATGAAAGATGCATAAATGTTTTCGTGCTACATTTTGAGAAAATTGTTAAAGACCAAATAGGTTGTTCTGAAAGAACGTTTATTCATAACTTTCAGAGAATCTTGACAGAATTTTATATATAATATATATATATATATAATTTGGGGGAGTGGGGCAATAGGGATTTCGCCTAGGGCGTCAAATTGGCTAGAAACGGCCCTGTATATGCATAAAGTTGTTTTGGAATTGGTGACTTGTAACGTGTAGTGGAGTAATTTTCACTGTAAGGTATCTGTACTTTTACTCAAGTATGGTTTTTAGGTACTCTTTACACCTCTGATAAAAGCTGCATATTAGTATCTTATAAAGTACTACTATAAACCATTTCAGGGTAAATAAGGTATAAAATCGTCCCTGTGACAACCCTTAAAGGTACAGGTAGCTGCAGGCAAAAGGTGGCGTGCCGAAAGGTGAATGCTACAACAGAAACTAACCCTAACCCTAACCAATTAGAAATACCGGTACTTTTATCCATGCCCCCGACCTTTCAGCACACCCTAATCTTTCACCACGCCCACTGCTCCAGCCTGCAGTTATCCCTACTTGCAATTTTTACACATTTCTAATGAGACTTTACCAATGCCTCAGTAGAAGAGAGAAAGTATCCACCATATTTTTCCCGTAAGAGCGAGCGCAGCCATTTGTAAATTTAATGTGTCTGGCTTCCGGTCTCATCCGCTTCCAGCTATATTTAGTTGTACAAAACGGCTTACTTCCGCGTTGAAAAGTAAGGTGGGTAGTCATTATATAATAAAGTAACTAAATAGCAACAACTGCATCTTTTACCACATACATGTCAGGACGTGGATGTGGTCTCTGGCACTCACACTGAGCAGCCACTACAAACATTCACCATGGTAACATAGTGTCTGTCATAGACAATAATAGTTATTGTTACTACAACAAATCATCTTGCCACCACTGTCATCCAAATAGAACATAACTAAATCAAAGCTATTCTAAATGCTTCAGCTGAGGCATTTCCCATAATTTAGTGCCATATAATTTTTAAATATATAATGCACAAATCCCACATTGTTGTTGTTTTTTTCTATTGTGAGTCCTGTTAGATAAGTTTGATAGTTAGATTTTTTTTAGCTGAGGCATTTCCCATAATTTAGTGCCATATAATTTTTAAATATATAATGCACAAATCCCACATTGTTGTTGTTTTTTTGTATATTGTGAGTCCTGTTAAATAAGTTTGATAGTTAGATTTTTTTAGTTTGCTTTTTGAAATATCATCAAACATAAAATCAACCAAAAGTAGCTAATTAAAAACAGTCTGGCAGCTCAATTTAGTCTAAATTTGCAACACTGCAGTCTTGTTTATGAACAGTGCAGTGAATAAGATGCAAGCTGGTGTGGACTATAATGTGGAACTCTGGTGGTAATAACGGGAGAGTTTTTATAAGGGATTTAATTTATTTCATTTTAATTTAGAAGTCACAGGCTGTAACTGAGTGACGGTAAAATGAAGCCCTTTCACAGCCAAGCCACTAAGTGGCGACATACAGAATAAGAAACGGAATATACATTGTCTATTACCGCCGGCCAGCGGACGAGAGGTGCAATTACACGCAGGAGCCTTAATTATGTCTGTTTCTACATAAACAAACATCAACCTGGGGATGGACAAAGTTACCTGGATCACCATCCGATAACATTTAATTACTTTTTTTTAACACATTAATTAAGCGCTTAATGAATGTTCTTTTGCTGAAGCCGCCGGTGTGATTCTGTAAACTTCTCCTGCTGTACACATTGTCAAACTGTGGATTTAACGTTAGAGATAGCTAGTCGAGCTAGCTGGCTAAGGTAAATGTTACTGTGAAATAATATGCAATGTTTGGCCGAGTGTTTTGCGTGGTTTTTAGTCGCGCATATTCAGATTTTTGACAGCTCGTTGCTAATTAGACTTTGCGCTGAAGTGCTGAAAGATTATTCAATGTTATATGTGTTTTTTCAGCTCAGAAATTACGTAATTGCCATGTGGATTGTATTGTTTACTATGCTTGTACTATAGTAACAACTATTTTAACTATAATATTTTAGCTTAAATGTTCAAGTAGGTTTTTACTAAATAATTTGTGAATGATAAATAAATAAATAATTTGAGTCAGTGAATGAATCTAATAAATGTGTATCACAACTCTTAGGGTTAAAGCGTGTTTAAGCTGCTGTTTTTCATAACACATTCTATTATATTTTATAGAAACCATCTTTGTATTAATCTAACCACGGTAAGAGTTTAAGTGAGAGTTCACCCAAAAATGAAGAATCTGTCATCATTTACTCACCCTCATGTTGTTTCAACAGCTACCAGCAACTGTTTGGTTACCAGCATTTTTCAAAATATCTTCTTTTGTGTTCAACAAAAGAAAGAAAATCATATCGGTTTGGAACAGCTTGGGTGAGTAATTAACCACATTTTTATTTTTGGGTGAACTATCCCTTTAAATAATGGTCACTATACAATAACCTTGGTTCATTTAAGGGTCTAGCTAACTTTATTTTTTATCTAACTTTATTTTAGTCTTCCAGTGGATTTCCTGATATCAAATTCGGCAGAATCCATATCCTGTAAATGGGGAACAGTGCGCTCAAAGCTCATTTGGAAACATCTCAGAAGACTGGAGTCTTTCAGCTGACCGGAAAGGGTTTGACAGAGGTGCTAATAGGCTTGTCGTAATCATATTCACCACACAAATGCACTTAGCAGCGATGTCCTCATGGATTATTGACAGCTCACGTGTCTTTGATTATGTAGTTCCCAGAGGAGCTGCAGAAACTCACCGGAAACCTGCGGACAGTTGATCTGTCCAACAACAAAATTGAGGTGCTTCCAGCATTCGTAGGAGGCTTCCAGCAAATCAAGAGTCTTACCATAAGCAGCAATAAACTGAGTAAGTGTTGACAAATAGCTAAATATGGCCATCTTACAAACTTATCATTCTAACCTTTTATTTGTATTTTTTTGTATTGTTTTTTTTGCAATCAAAACATAGTTTTATGGTATTTTTCACACTCTTTTGTCCCTTAGAATTAAATAGGCTAATTTTGCTTCTGTACATTTAAGACTTTTGTATGTAAATTACCTCTGTTGTGATTGGCTAACATCTTTGCATGTGAAATGAGTAATCCCCCATTGAACTGATGAACATTGAATAGACTTGAGAGAGCGATATATATATATATATATGTGTGTGTGTAGAATTAAAAATGTGTGATTATAATATATTTCAAAATATTTTATATATATATATATATATATATATAATAAATAATATATATTCCAAAAATGTGGAATAATTAAGATTGTTAATGTTTTTAAAAATGTTCTCTTTGCTCATCAAGGCTGTGAGTATTTGATCAAAAATAGAGTAAAAACAGTAATATTGTGACATATTATTACAATTAAAATAACACTTTCTTATTTAAATATAATTTAAAATGTAATTTATTCTTTTAATGCAAAGCTGAATTTTCAGCACTCATTACTCTAGCCCTCAGCTCCTTCAGAAATCATTCTAATATGCTGATTTGCTGCACATTAAACATTTCTTACTGTAGTATCTACATAGTCAATCATTTTATTGCAGAGGAGCCTGTATTCTGTGATATGAACTCTTAAGCACTCCATTAATGTATGATTTTTTTTGTTTTATGTGTGTAGCCAGTCTACCAAATGACATCGGGAAACTCAAGAAGCTGGAGACTCTTATTTTAAATGGGAACCAGTTGAAGCAGCTTCCTTCATCGGTGGGTCAGCTGAAGTCCTTGCGCACCTTGACCCTGTCTGGGAATCACTTCAAGGAGTTTCCTAGTGGACTCGGCACCCTTCGCCAGCTCGATGTTCTGGACCTGTCCAAGAATAAGATCCAGGTGGTTCCTGCAGAAGTGGCCGAACTGCAAGCCATTGAAATCAACCTCAATCAGAACCAGGTGAGTTTTTTTAGTTTGTTGCATTCATGTCATGATAAAGGAGTGTCAGGGTGACTTTTTGTGCTGTGTTTGTTCTGTTTCAGATTTCAACAGTGTCTCCAGAGGTGTCCCGTGCTCCCAGACTGAAGGTCTTACGGCTGGAGGAGAACTGTCTGGAGCTCTCCGCTATCCCCTTCTCCATCCTCTCAGACTCCCAGGTGTCCCTGCTGTCCGTGGAGGGCAACCTGTTTGCAGTTAAAAAGATGCGTGACCTAGAAGGATATGATAAGGTAATTTTGTGTCAGTTTAGCCTACTATTATATCTTTAAATCTTATGTATTTTATAAGAAGACATAAGAAAAAAAAGTTTTGTTTTTCAGGTTATATTCCATGTCCAGTATTAAAGGGATAGTTCCCCCAAAATGAAAATTTGATGTTTATCTGCTTACCCCCAGGGCATCCAAGATGCAGGTGACTTTGTTTCTTCAGTAGAACACAAACGAAGATTTTTAACTCAAACCTTTGCAGCCTGTCAGTCATATAATGGAAGGGAATGGGAATCACGGCTTTGAGAGTCAAAAAAACATACACAAACAAAACCAAATTAACACTAACATTACACTCCTAATTGAGATTGTAGATAGAGTGTCAATGGTCCATTTGAGAGATAGGTGGCGGTAATGCACTTATAAGTCTGCGATCCGCCGTAAAGCAAGAAGAAGAAGATGCGAATGCACTCAGGACAGTTCGGACATTGTGGTGAATCAGAGGTAAAAAACGATATAAATACTGTTCAGTTTCTTGCACAGACAGATCGTTTTGTGTCTTTTCACATCAATGTATCATCACGAGCCGAAGGGTTTAATTTGCTTTTGTTTGTGTATGTTTTTTTAACTCTCAAAGCCATGATTCCAATTCACTTCCATTATAAGACTGACAGACTGCAACGGTTTGAGTTAAAAATCTCAGTTTGTGTTCTACTGAAGAAACAAAGTCACTTACCTCTTATACACCGCAATGTACATCATCCGGCGCGTGATGCGTGTACGTGCTCTGGCATGGTAGACACATGAGCGGAAGCGATCGGTCACGCATATACGTCACTCATTGGATGTTGTGAACGCGCTCAGGACAGTTGGACATTGCGGTGGATCAGAGGTAAAAAAATGATATAAATACGGTTCAGTTTCTTGCACAGGCCGATCGTTTCGTGTCTTAAGACCTCAATGTATCGTCACGAGCCGCAGGCTTTGATTTGGTTTTGTTTGTGTATGTTTTTTTTTTACTCTCAAAGCCGTGATTCCCATTCACTTACGTTATATGACTGACAGGCTGCAACGGTTTGAGTTAAAAATCTTTGTTTGTGTTCTACTGAAGAAACAAAGTCACCTACATCTTGGATGCCCTGGGGGTAAGCAGATAAACATCAAATTTTCATTTTTGGGTGAACTATCCCTTTAACAGTCAATTTTGTGTGTCTCATCCTCTTCTATAAATATCACATGTTTTTCCAAGATGGAAAATACCACAGTTTAAGTTTGAATGTAAAACAAAAGTGGTCTAATTATTTGTTTTTGAAACAAAGTCAAATCCCCCAAAATCTAGAAGCAGGGAAAGGAAGAGATAATACTAGCTCTGAATTGAGAAATTCACAGTTCAACTCAGATTTATTCTTGTGTGGCACAAGAAACAAAAAACCCTCAAATATAATTTCCCCCAAATATAATCCTGTATTAATCTAAGAACATTTTACTGTTTCAAGCATGATTTTCAAGACAAATTAGTGTTTACACTGCTGATGTGATGTAGTTTTGTGTGTTGTTGATTCTGAATGTAGTTTGATCGATTAAATCTCAAAACATTTTGAACCCAGTTTAAACCTCTAGTTAGTTAGTCCACCTGTTATTAGTTTGCCTAAAACAGATCTTACTTCCAGGTGTAAACAGGGCCAAGTGGCTTTACAAATATCAAATTCAATCCGACCTCTCTTATTTGACTCACATATGACTGAAATTTCAATCTTATAACCAGGTAAATCTGTTTATATCTTCTGTTCAAAATCAAATCTGCTTATTTTCATTGACATCAGTTGAAAGCTTTAAGAGTTTGATTTTACACATTAAAAGATTTTATGAAAATCATGTTATAAGTACCGGTTTAATTTCCCAAAATGAGCAGATCATTTATGCTAACACTATCTTTTGAATGGTAGTCTATCACAGTTTCCACAAAAATAGTAAGCAGAAAAATGTTTTCAACACTGATAATAAAAAGAAATGTTTCTTGAGCACCAAATCAACATATTAGAATGATTTCTGAAAGATCATGTGACACTAAAGACTGCTTTGCATCACAGGAATAAATTACATTTTTAGAATTTAACAATAGAAAACAGCTATTTTAAATTGTAAAAATATTTCACGATATTACTGTTTTTGCTGTATTTGTAATCAAATAAATGCAGCCTTGGTGAGCAAGATCACATTTCAAAACATGAAAGTAATCCTAAACGTTTGACCCGTAGCATACGTTATATAAATAGCCTTAAACGCGATTTAGGAATCTAATGCCAATCTACATTTTTTACACTTTTTCTTTCTTGCATAGTCATATAATGACTTGCTTTAATCTTTGTTTTCTTCAGTACATGGAGCGTTTCACTGCAACCAAGAAGAAATGTGCGTGAACAGTCAAGAGGCTTGCTGCACCTGTCCTCTGCATTGGGCTTGCCGTAGAGCGGGTTCAGCTGGGACTGCTTGTGTAAATGGCAAGACGGGAATGGAAAAATGGTCAAGAGTGCTTCACAACTCGGTAGAATGACGCTCAGAAACCCCAGCCCTGCTGCTCATCATGTGACAGTACAGACAGCACTGTATGGACCTTGCATCACTCTTTCTTTTGCAAAGATTTTATAAACCGAAATATAGTGCAGACTCAGCTTTATGAGGACATTTACACTGGAGAATGATTTATGTACACTAATGCCACATCTGTTTATAGAAGGTCTGTCCTTCAGAGAGGCTAGTATAACAAATAACTAACATATTGTACGTCCTGTACCTTTAAAAGTATGTGCTATTGCTTAGCATTTATTTTAAAGCATTAGAGTTTGAACACACCTTTGTTCCCTTTTTCATGTCTGTTATTATTTGATTGGAACATTGTTTTGGGCATCAATGAGGTTTTATCTGTTTAACAGTATTTTGATTGAACTGTGATCTCAAAACTTCCGTTAAAGAATATTTGCTGATACCTTTTTTTCCTTTTCTTTTCTGACAACAAAGGCTGCACGAGTCTTTGTCGAATACTGTCCATGAAATGCATGCCAGTGGATATTTATATTTGTAACACAAAATTCTGTTTTAATGCAGTACATTTGCTTTTACACATGTATACGTGCTGCATGTTTTCTGACCATAAAAGTGCATAACTCAAAAAGCATTTTAGTGAAGGGCTATGTATTTTCATGCAGTTTTTGAGATCTAAATCTATTGTTCTTCATGGTCATGTCTATGTATCCGTCTATTACTTACACACTTGAATGTTATCTTTGGTGGTCTGTTTAAAGGGATAGTTTATCCAAAAATTACAATTCTGTTTTCATTTACCCACCCAAGTTGTTCCAAACTTGCTTGAATTTTTCTTCTGCTGCAGACAAAAGCAGATATTGAAGAATGTGGGTAACCAATTTTTTCATTTTTGTGTGAACTATCCTTTTAACCTAGTGTTTCTCTCAGTAAATGAATATATGCACATTAATGGGAATGTATTAATAACAAGCATCTGAATTTTACATTCAGAATTATAACATATTACCCAAAAGCAGTCATGAGTGGCTTTTACTCTAATGCAGCATTTGTAAAATATGTGTTCCTCAATGTTCTACATCACTAAATTATTTTTATGCTGCAACATTTGGCCACAGTATAAAGATTGCATTGTATTAAAATTACAGCATCATCAAGTTAATTGTATCTGAATGTTCCCTTCAGGATGAATAAAGTACACCTATCTGTCAACCTACAGTTTGTGTAATCGTGATTATTGATATTAAGACTAGCAAATAGCAGAAAACAGTGTGGTGCATGAGAACACAACTCAGGATATATCAATGATTTAAATGATTTGTTTTAAATAATGTTAATTTAATTTATTGTGGATTGTTGTGGTGTTTTTAATCAGCTGTTTGGACTCTCATTCTGACGGCACCCATTCACTGCAGAGGATTCATTGGTGAGCAAGTGATGTAATGCTGAATTTCTCCAAATCTGTTCTGATGAAGAAACAAACCCATCTTTACCGTGGATGGCCTGAGGGTGAGTACATTTTCATTTTGGGGTGAACGATTTTTAATTCTCTGGCAAACATGAGTAAATTATACTACTATCATTCCACTAACTAAATTAGTTTTGCAAAGATTAAAGATTAAAACACACAACTTTCCATTACAAAATTAAAAATTTTTTAAACCCATGATATTTCTATTCTAATTAGACATATGGAATTGTGTCACTCATAAAGGACAACAAAGCTCTATGATATCAATATGCTGTATTTGAAAGTCTGTTCAATGTAAATTCATAACTGGAAAAAAACAACATTCAGCACAGAATTTTCAAAAGTATGGATAAATCAAGAAAAAAGGCATAAAAAAACAACAGGAACAGTACAACAATGAAACCAAAGGGTGGTGCTATAACCCCACATGACAACACTGAACCAATGACCAGAACTGAAATGCCCATTACAATGAATTATATAAAGTATTCACCACATTTGTGGCTTGTTTAGACTGTAAATAGAGCAGCAAGATCACATCTTGAACAGAAAACAGCTGTTTGAAGAGCTGAGACTCTGAAAAGGTGTGATAACGTCGTCTTGTTTTTTCACTCCTAAAAATACTTCAAATAGCTTTATTTCATATAAGATGCCGCACAAGCAAGACCATTTCATTACACTGTTAGAAAAAAAAGCCACCAAGAATGGCAAATGCAAATTGTGGCATATCATTTGTATCGGAACACAGTGATGAGGCAGAAATGTAAAAAAGTAGGAAACCATTTGGTAGCCAGACATGGCATTAGAAATCACTACTCATTAGAATTGGGTTCAAACACCACTGAGCAGAACTAAAATGGAAAATGAGCCCAGTCATCGAAATACAAAAGTCCCACATTTCATGGTAGTAATTATACTACATTTTTGACCTGTTTGGTGCAATAATCTTATTAATGGTATTGCACTGAATATACAATAAAATAACATAAACTTTCCTCACATTTCAAATGACAGATAATACACCAACATATGTTTTTAAACATCAAAAAGGTATTTAAATCATGATATACTGTACATAAAATGGCACTATTAAACATGACAGACTGCCATCCTGACATCTAATCAGATCTCAGGTAGATCAGGCATGTTTTATGGTGTATTTGCCTTTCTGAAGCTGTGAGATGTAGAGTTTTGACTTGTTCCCATCGACTCGCTTAAACCAGACTTCATCATGATTGACTGTAGTTATTAACGCGCTGTTTGAAACAGAAGACAGGAGAAAAATAACTCTCAAAAGTGCTGCAAAATAATCAATATGAGCTTGGTAATTCAGGATCCCTCACCTCATAGGATACTCGTCTTTCTTGTCGATACATATGGCTTGTCCACGGCTGTAACATTCCCCGTCGTAAAACAAGCGTACGTCCTCTGAGCGGGCATTGTGCTGGTGTCTGTCACTCTTTGAAGAGACTACAACAAATTATACAAGTTCTACAGTTACTAACGTAACAAAAAACAACTTAAACATTACATAATAAAGCACCTATAGGATAAGCCAATTTAACTGCTGTAACTATACAAACATGATGATGTGTCTATATTTAACTGGAATTTGTTAATAGGTTACCACTTAGGAGTTAGATGGAGTCATTATGCACCAAAACTCCAGGAAGTTGCCCAGAGCAAAAGAGACTAAGAACAGACGTATTTGTTCAAGGTCACTATAGTAAAAGGGAAATTCTACAAGTTTTTTTTACTATGTCCATAAACTTTTAAACTGTAGTGTATAATTTAACCAGTTGTTGTTATGAAAATTAAATACAGTATTAAATATGATCTCACCATCAGTCTTTACTCTGTGAGGTCCTAATGTTGCCATGGCCTACAAGATATTAACAAAATACATAATTTGCTTCACAATAAAAATGGTTTCATATAAAAAAAAGAGTTCTGTTTTTGACAGTCTAACCTTTCTAATAGCAGTCCAATCTTCCAGTATATCCAGGTCTTGCAGCATGTAAACTATATATGGGCGTGCACATGTTAAGAAACTCACAAATGATCCAGCAAATTCTGGATAGATTGATTATAGGTGTGTACAATTGGTTGTAGTAAAGGATATCTGACACAACGACAGGCTTTTTCTTTTTGTCTGGACTGAAGGGATCTTTCTTCTTATTTTTTCTTGATTGTAACTCATCGTTCCAGAGCTCTGTAGGGGAAATATGACAAAGATTGTATAAATAACACAAAAAAACGATATTATTTGTGACCGTATTCACAATTCCAATACCTGAGGTAATATCTATGCTGTGACGGTCTTCCTCCAAACGTCTGATCTTCTCCTCTAGTTCACTTTGAACCGTATCAAATAATAACAGTTTTTCACTCTAGAAGAGATCAAATGAGCCAAATTGGAATTGTATTTCATTTTGAAAGTTTGTTTAAATAGATGCATGCTTTTAATGTGGTAACTGGCAGGCTTTTAGCGCTGTTAGATCAAACAATAATAATACTCCTGTATGGCTCTGTTATGATGACTCAGCAAGACATTTCAGACATGCACCATTGTTTAGGTAATAGCGGATTACATCTGTAAAACTCACCTCCCAGTGCTGGAACGCTGCTTGGGTTTCACAGTCGTATTTATTCTTCACTGATTCCAAGCACAATTCTCTGTAGATACCTATGCATGAATGTATTGTTTCAATAATGCACCAAAATGCAGTTTCAAAGAACAATAATCACCATGTTCAGTTTGGACATCAGACCGACCTGCAACTTTAGTTCTAATCTGCATGTTCTCCTGAAGATTTGCAAGGGGTTCCAGGTACTCTGGTGCCTTTCCTGACATCACTTCCTGAAGTTTGGCATCAACTTGACTCAGCCTCTCTTTATATAACCTAAGGAAAGCATGCACACTTAGTGACCGATGTAAAAAAAAAAAAAAAATGTATGCACTTGTAAATAACATGAATTCATGCACAGATTGAATACAAACAAGAGGATGGTACATACTGGTCTTTGAGATCAGTGAACTGTTTTTCTAGATTAGTCATTTCGTCTATGCATTCCATCCTTCTCCTTTCACAATCCTCATCGTCAATTTCTGAAATAAACAGATTGTTTCTTTCTTTATTTGTTTAAATGAATAGTTCACAAAAAAAAAAAAAAAGTGTGCATCTGTCGGGCAACAAAAACCTCAATGACGGTGCCCAACTATTGTTAACAATGATTTCTTGTAAGACCTCTAATGTTATTTATATGCTGCGCTGCCCATGTGGACTCTGTTATGTGGGAAAAATCAGCAGACAACTCAAAATGCAGATTGCCGAACATCGAAGTGCCATTAGGCTGCATGACCCTAGAAGTCCAGTAGTACAACATTTTGAAAGATTTACAATATATTGGCATTGAAGCTATTAAATTACCTTGTAGAGGGGGTGATATCAACAATTTGCTTTTAAGACGTGAAGCCTATTGGATTTATACTTTGAACATATTATCACCTAATGGTCTTAACGAAGAGTTTGATATTTGTCCTTTTCTGCAATAATGATGCTGATTGTATCATTTGCATTTTTATGTTTGGTTTTTTTCTAGTCATGTATTTGTGTTATATTGTTGTGATTTGTTTATGATACTTTATGTTTTCACTTTTATTTTAGTTATGTGATTTGTTGCCCTAGTGTTGCGGGGGGTTTTTCCTTCAACCTCAGGACGTCTAAGATGTAGATGAGTTTGTTAATTCATCTGAACATATTTGGAGAAATTTAGCATTGCATCACTTGCTCACCAATGTAACCTCTGCAGTGAATGGGTGCCGTCAGAATGAGTCCAAACAGCACATAAAAAACATCAGAATAATCCACAAGTAATCCATATGTCTTGTCAAAAGTCATCTTGTCTGAATCAGAAGAGAAATATGCATTACTTATGGATTATTGTGATGTTTTTATACTTTGACCAGAAGCGACTATTTAATAATAAATAAATAAAATCTCACAAACATGCAGCTTTTCACTTCACAAGACATTAATTGATGGACTGGAGTCGTGTGGATTACTTGTGATGTTATTATTTTCCGCTTTAGTTTGAAGCTGTTTGGACTTTCATTCTGACGGCACCCATTCACTGCAGAGGATCCAATAGTTCGCAAGTGACCTAATGCTAAATTTCTCAAGTCAAGTGAGTCAATTTTCGGCATATTTTCTATTTCAATTTTCAAATATTCATGGTTCTTGTTGTATTGCATTTTTACATGTATCTATCTGTTCCTATATATCTACATAGAGAAAATCAAAAGTCTGATTCACACCTGAACTTTCCCCATCTTCAGAGACAGAAGAGCTCTCTGTATCCTCATCTTCTGAGCTGCTCCCCTCTTGCTCTGCGAAATCCACCTCCATCTCTTCATGGTTGCTCTCCTTCTTTTCTCTCGAGTGCGCTGGCATTCCGTTTTTTTTAAACTATGACTACCGAGAAATCTACTGAACTACTTCTCACCTTTAAATTACTCTTCTTTTTTTGTGAGCAGATGTGTTTGTTAGCTTGATGTTATTGCTAAAAACAAAACAGATACATAAACATCTAACGTTAGATGTATCATGCTAGCAAACGTTCAAATCTTGCAAATGACCGGCAGCTGTCGTTTCGTCCAGATATGATTAAATCAAAAAGGGGGGCCCTTGCATATTAAATCGCTTTACCTGTTAATAATTTTGTAACCAAAAAAAAAACCTTTCTGTTTTACTTTATTAAGGCATGCTACCATATATATATATAGTATATATATATATATATATATATATATATATATATATTAAATCATGGCTCACATGATCGAGGCATTGCGAAGAGTATGACAGTTTCACTGAGAATCAACTCATTAGTTTTAATCCGCAAGCCATGTGCATTTAGGCATTGTGCAAATTGGAAACAATTATATTTACTCTTTTGCACACATTTGCCAAAACGTGCAATTAAAATCTGGTGTGAACAAACTAATCTCATTCGAGAATCAAGCAAAAACAGTTTAGGAAAAACTGTAAATGCAGTTGTTGTCTCTCAATATCAACAAGAACTGTCCAGTTCATGGTCTGTCATTCATAATGCAATGAAGGAAAAAATGCTTCTTGGCCAGTGGCCACTGGAGATTAGTTCATGTTTTGGGTGGGTGACAGCAAAGATATGGTTCTTCAGGACTGGGTGGGACGTCACAGAATAACAGAAATAAACCAGCACTTCCTTTGGGAGTTGTCAAGGAAGTCAGAGAAAGGAGTCCATCTCTGGCCGGTTGCCTCAGATTCCTGAGTTGTTTAGCTTTAAAGCTGCACTGACTTCCTGAGTGTTGGACATGAGGATGGTTTATGTAACATGGCAGATTCTTCAGTGAACGATCAGTGACTGTGGTTAAAGAGTCTATTTGAGATGTTGGCCTGCCCTGGAGTCGTTACTGTCCAATCACGACCCCGTTTCCTGAATTGCTTTCTGTGGTGTTATCTGGCTTCCTGGTGCCATTGTGTTACGCTGATGATTGTTTTGAAAATGAAAACTATGTGATGTTTGCTATGAATGGCAAGGAAACTGCCTCCATCACAGTAAAAAAGGATTGTTGAAGTCATTGTGTCTGTGATTGTTTCATAGTGACACTTGTGTAACATCAAATACTATGCGTTTATGTTATCATGTGACTAATTATTTTTAAGGTGTATTCCAAAAGAAGAGGTGAGTAAAAACAATGGGTATTTCGAAGAATTGCATTATTGCCTCAATATGTTGTACTGTATGCATGGCAGAAAATCTGTATTTTTAGTCAGCTACATTTTTCATAATATATTTTTTGGGGAAAAGGGTCAGCAACACTATGGTGGCATTACCTGTTCATTTTGGACAAATTAAAATAATGAGCTGAATATACACTACAGTTTAAAAGTTTGAGCTTAGTAAGATTTTTAAATGTTTTTGAAAATAGTATCTTATGTTCACCAAGGCTGTAATTATTTAATAAAATACAGTAAAAGCAGTAATATTCTGAAATATTATTATAATTTAAAATAACAGCTTCCTATTTTAATATATATTAAAAAAATTATTTCTGTGAGGGCAAAGCTGAATTATTAGCAGTCCTTACTCAAGTCTTCAGTGTCATATGATCATTCAGAAATCATACTAATATGCTGATTTGGTTCTCAAAAATCATTTTATTTTTATTATTAGTGTTGAAAACATTTGTTCTGCTTAATATCACAGTTTGTGGAAACCATGATATATATATATCATATATATCATATTTACAAAAAAAAACCTTTCTGTTTTACTTTATTAAGGCATGCTACCCACTGAAAAGCAGGGACACTGGCGCGTAATGTGCGCTGTTGTAGCACTCTGGGGTTTGTAGTTCTTATTGTGACACCGATATTTAGGGTGCTATTGTTCTTAGTGGACTAAAGAACTACAGTTCCCCGTCGTCACTCGTCCTATGGCGAGCGTGTTTACGACTATAAAAACAGGCTGTATAAATCAATGGACGACTGGATGAAATGATTGTGTTGTTTATAAATTCTCTTTTATTATTATTTCATTTATTTCGGAACAGAGTTGTTGTTGTTCACTCAATTTCATTTTCAGACAATTTTACAATGCAACAATAATTCACAATTTCCAAAAATTATTAAATAACCCTCTTTCTTTTATATTTTTTTCTGTCAAGTTTTTTTTTTACTTTTCATTAATTTATTATCAAAGGAATATGTAACACAAAATAAAGGTATAACAGATGAAGAAAACTATAAAAAAAAACGGAACAGTGAAGGCAAAGCTTGAAGTTTTATTGTGTTTTCATTGCTTCATTCATTCATTCATCCATTTTTCTTGCTTGCAAATTTTTCCTTATGAATCAACAAAATAATAATAATAATAAATAAATAAAATAATAATAAAAAGGTTACATTCATTATTTCATAAAATAATGTAAAGTATATTTTATATTCAAAATTACATAATACTGTTCTAAAGTTTTAAAAACATTATAAAAAGAGAACAAAGCAAGACATACAATGAAAAATAGAAAACGGTATATCAATTACGCATACATAAAAAATAAAACAAATATAACAACATTAAAGAAAACATGAATGCAAAAATATATAAGAAACAGACCTCATTATAACAGTTTAGAAATGTCTTATACATTTTATTGTCAGATATGAAGTGCAATCATCTATTGTTACTCAAAAAAAAAAAAAAGATTCACATTTTATGAATGTGAAATATTTCTCCTGTCCTGTGGATCCTGATGTGTGATTGTGCTTTGGATGACGTTTGAGCGTTGAATGACTCTGGCCTCGATTAAGGTGTTTTTCATATCGCGTCCTCCGCCATGTTTTCAGATTTTCAGAGAGGTGTGTAGTCCACAAGACACACACACAGAGGAGGGCTTGCTGCTTTTTCTTTTGTTTGACCTCCTCTGCAAAAATGCACGCCTCACCTCTATTTCCTCAAGTTTCCTCACAACCCATAACACCTTTCGAGCCGTAAATCTGACAAGCCCTTCCATGTTTGAGGGAATTAACGGAAGATTATCATTAGCTCTTCAAAACATCTCGGAATGTTCTCTAAAAAACCTCATGGAGATGTCAGGAAATCGACACAGAAAGTGCTGGACCCCAAGAAGGACGTGCTGACAAGATTGAAACATCTGAGAATTGTTATTGGTGAGAAATAACATTATCTGTACTAATTTTATGGTCCTAACGTTGCCTTGCAGGGTGCTAATATGCTATAGACAGGAGAATGAAGGCACCACCAGCAATAGGGTGTTTACCTGTATTTTTAGTTTTAAAACATGTGACAATTATTGACAAGTTTGCTTTTAGAAGTGTGGTCAGGTATGCAGTGGTTTTATAGTGTTTTGTTTCGTTCTTTTGTATCGTTCTTTTGAGTGTTTTTGTGTCTTTGCAGTTGGTGATGTTTTGATATGACACATGCATTGGTTTCACTGGAACCTCTTTAGATGTCAGTGAATCTGTTGAGTAGATGTTCTGCATGCACATTGTTTTTTTTATTTTGTTATTAAGTTTAATGGTTATTCGGTCTGCAAGTGCAATTAAGTGATTGACATTTCCCTTGTTTAGGTTTATTAACCTGTCTATTCATGTGCATAGTATAAATATAATTAAGAATTGTGCAAATAAATAAATATTATAAACACATAATATATAAATTAAAAAAATATATATATATATATATATATATATATATTACTATTCCTTCATGAACAAGATGTTCAAATGAGCAGCTTTTATTTGAAATATAAATTATTATATAAATATTGCATATATAAGTAAGTTTGAATGCACTAAACATAAAGAATTGCTAAATATTATGGTATATATTGATATAATGTTGTATCACCAGGTCCCTGCTGATTCCACCCTGAATTTACAGCAATGGGACATTTTTATTATGTTTGGTCAATTTTGGTGTTTCTCTTTAAAAATGATAGGCTCAATATTCACATATGAAAAACTATTACATCCACTTATTGTGGCCTAGATCAGACCCTGTGCACAACAGCTTTTGTGCATTGGGGGACCTGAGGAAGTGAAGTGTAGCCTAAATAAACAGATGGGTGTGTTTGCAGAGAAATGGCTCTGATAGGAAATTCACTGTTTGAGATTTGGTTTAAGAACTACCTGTTATTTGAATGCAAGTGGGACTGAACTGTGTGAACTTGTGAATATAATATGTATTTAGTTCAGACTAGTCTGCTGAAGTTCTGCATCTCTACATTAGCCTTTCTGACTGTGCAATCAATCTGCATCTTTAGCATGCTGGGCTTGAGAATTGCTGATGCGAACAACAGTCATATTTTATGTGAAGTCAATCATTAAATGGGCTCTCAACAGATTGCTGCACACTCGATAACTTGTGAAGTACCACAGATTGATTGATGCCGATATTGAAATGACTGCATCCCTATTACTACTGCACATACTTAAGGTTAGTAGAGATTTGAACAAACTAAAAGCGTGCATGTAATTTGACATGTAATTTGTCCTGTACCGTTTGTAATATGGTTATTAATGGTATCTCATTACGAAGAGGTAAGCAGTTGAAATTATGACTTTGCATGTTTGATGATTAAAAAATGTTTTTACCTTGGTTAGAAAGTGTCTACCTAGCAACCCCTCAGAATACCTTAGCAACCACATGGCAACATCCTGGCATCAAAAGGATTGTATTTAGTTCTGGTTTTAAGATGCACTCTAATAGGCCTACATTGTGCATTCTTTGAGATTGACAGTTTAGGAGCGTCTGTGGCATCGTTCTTTTCATGGTGTTCAGTTCATCTTTAAAGATGAGGGCCATTATCTTTGAGTGATTCTAATACACCGACAGACAATTGGGCTCGCTGCTGTGTTCTATTTTAGATATTTACGACAGCCAGTGTAGCACCATCCGTTGGTCTGTTCTCTCTCATGTTGTGTAGTTTCAGCCAAAATTCCTCTCCATCTGTATGTTCTCAAAGGTTTTGAAATACATCACAATCTGTAAAATTCGTAGAACTCTGGTTCACTACTGCACTGTTAGTCATAGTCAGTTTGAATAAGGGATGGACATTGTGAGGATTTGTGTAACTGAGTACCCAAATAGTTCAAAGTATAAATAAATAAAAGTTAAAGTTGTTACATTATTAATAATATATATTTAGAAATATTATATTTTATTATAGCATTGTTATTTTTGACGTCCCTGCTCTTGTTCAATGCGAATGCCGTATGCTGGAATATGAGCAGTCATTCCGTCATTACCCGGGTGCTGATAGCGTGCGCGCACAGTTGAGACCTGAACAGGACACATTGATATCTGTGTTTAAGCTAAACTCGTTTAAGCTTTGCCAGTTTAAACATTTAAGAGC